CTGTCGACCCGCACGCCGTTCGTGGTGGAAAGCATCGAAACTAATTAAATGCTTTAAATAAATTACCTTTAAGAGCAATAAAAACCTAAACTTGTGTTGAAATAAATTAGCTGTTCACAAAAGTTTCAACTCAAACAGGTTAGAAATCCACAGGTTTCATTAGTTGTATGAAATCAATACGGAGTTAATTAATAAAATGGCCTCGTTAAGCACGGAGTCATAGTTCTACAGAATTACTTCATGATTTATTTCAATAAGAACGACAAACGGGTTTTAGTAAAAATGTACGTTTTAAGAAATCGTCTCTCCGGCCCGAATCGTTTCCGATCTTAAAACCTTTCATCTTTCCATTCAAGCTGCGTGACCTTTGAACTCTCAGTTATGTTTACAAAAACCTGACGGAGCCATTTCTTTATTCAATATTTCATTTAAAATCTCAACACAATTTTCTGGTTTCTTATTATAAAAATAAGTGAAATACGACTTTAAATTTACTCAAAATACATTTACCAATCCTATCCTACCTATTTGCACGAGTCTGGATTTTGTTTTCCTGCCTAAAGCTGCTACCCGTGCACTACACGTGCACGACGCCGGTTTTTGTTTTACGTTACCGATCCGGTTGACCACCGAGACGTCCCGACAGAAGTTAGCCGTAATGAGCTCCGGATCGTTCTTCAGCTGAATGCATGTATACTTTACTCGTGCACAACGCACGTGTCTTTGCTTTTTTACTCGTGTTTTTGTCGAGACAAGAGACGGGACTCCACAGGAACGTCCGCCCGCGATGGACGCACCTCTACCAGGTGAGTTCCCGCCCGTTAGTGATTTTTTTCAGCGTCGCCTAAATGTAAACGTGGAGAATCATCTTGAGGGAAATTATAAAAAAGCTAAAGCGTAAAAAATAAAAGATCTGAAAAGGTCATTTTTTAAGATCTGAAAATTACAGAAAAATGTGCATTTATAATGGGATTTCAATACGGTAGGTTTTCTGTCTAAAGACCATCAGAGTAGTAACGTTACGGTGAGGTTTTAAAATAACGGACGAAATAAAGAAAACGTAGACGAATATTTACCGTAATTCTCGGACTACAGAACGCGCCCGTCTCCAATCCGCGCAGATTAAATATAAAGTCATGTTTACTGACCAACACAAAAAGAAAACTATTTTTCCTCATGAGACCTTCAGATACGAGACGTTCAAACTTGATATTTTTAGCTTCAAAGTAGACGAGTTTCCACGTGAGCTCGGCATCAAGCCCGTTCGGTTTTTAAAACGCAACCTTTTCGCACACAAAGCTCGAGCGACGTAACCGAAACGTATCCGACATTTCTTTAACCTGTCGCCTCACAAATGAATTTAAGCATCGCTGGTAATAATGCGACGATCGCCTCTAGCTAGAACTCATTATTTACAATGTTGGATCGCCTGAAAGTGTTTCCGGTCATTCTATTCGGTTTATTTCTATAGCGCCATGTGCCAGCCTCCAGGCACTGAACAGAAACATTCATTTTGTCACGACGTGTTCATTTAAATTAAAATCACTTCGCTCCATCGTCTTAAAGCCTGTCCTTGTTGTGATGTATGCAAGTTATGCACGTGTGCTCAGTTACTGAGAAGCAGCAGCATGCAGGTTAAAGGTGTGCGATACAACCGTCCATCACTTCTTGTATTTGTGTCCAACATTGCATGCAATTAAAGAAAGAGTGGTAATTTAATGCAGGTCAGAAGGTTAAAGAAATCATAGAAAACATTAACAGGAAATAATAAAGTGGATTTCTTCTGGGGTTACTCATTTAAATGCAATATAAATTTGGGAAGCTTTACTTCATCCTAGAATATTTAAAGTTAAAAAAACTAAAATATTTCATCAGGTTCGTTACCTTGGAGTTTAAGTTATCCATCATTTAATTAGTCTTCAAACTACGTGAAGAATCAACTGGCTACACTGACGGGTCCCCCGCTCTTACCTGGACTCACCTGGCCTTCATACGAGCTCTAGTCCCGTTTCAGACAGACATGTAGGACTTACCGTCACATACTCACAGTGTCCGGGGAGAGGGCTCGGAACCACCAGACCCACTTACCTTTTCACATCAGCTGAGCACAAGCACCTGAAAAGCTCAAAGCCGTTAGTCGGTACTTACCTTCGGGGTCAATTAATAAAAAAAAAAAAAAAAAAAAAAACACACTTAAAAAAAGTTCCATGTTTCTCACTTAAAAGTAGCTTTTAAAGAAGCGGTCAACTCTGGCTTATTAAATTAGCAACAGAAGGTGTTTTCTTACTCACCAGTCAGAGCTTACTTGTTTCTCAACATCTTTACAAAGTCATGGTTTACTTGTACATTGTCCACAAGACAAAACAATACTGTAATATGACATAAAATAGCAGGTGCAAATACTTTGAAGGAAAAGTACACGACATGTTCTGTCACTTATACGAGCAGTTAGTTTGTTTTACATGACAAGCAAACGAGAACAGAGTGATCAATGCTTCTTCTATTCTATAATACACAGAGACCCCCTGAAAGATAAATAAATAGTCCATTAGAGAGAAAGTGATCATCAGGGCACATTGACTCACTGTGGTGAGGATGAGAACCGAGTGTAGGTGGAGGAGCAGTACCTGGTCCAGGATGTAGTTGCGCCTCTTGCGGGCGGCGATCTCGATCAGCCGGTTCAGACACTGGGTGGCCTGCTGGATCAGAACGTCCCAGCGGCCGGCGTAGTTCCTCTGGCGACGCAGACCCATTACCTGCGCAGACCAACGCCGTCACGTGACACGACGACGCCAAAAGAACGCGTTTGTGTGGCTCGGGAGAGCCGAGAGGACAGACCTTCATCTTGTCCATGATGGCGTTCGTGCCCAGGATGTTGTACTTCTTCTCAGGGTTCTCCACGGCGTGCTTCATGGCCCACGTGGTCTTTCCACAGGCGGGGAGGCCGACCATCATCAAAATCTGAAACGATACCAGAAACCGCTGCAGCTCAGTCTGCACCGTTCACTTCCTGGTGGGCTCGGTAACGCCGCCCTACCTCACAGTCAGACTTGTTGGCCGGTCCCTTCGTGCCCCTGATCTTTTCCTCCATGGGGAGATTGTGGATGAAGGTGTAGCCTTCCTTCGGGGGGAAGTAGGGCTCCCTCTTCTGCCCGAAGTTGAACTCAATGGCACAGTTTTTCACGAGCACGTGAGGGAACAGAGCGCGCCCCGCCAGCTCCTCTTTGGTCGTCTTGAACGCCACGCCCAGGTACACGCCGTTCTTGGAGTAGCCCATCTGCACCTGGTCTCCACTTTCAAAGTCCTACGGGTGAAGAAACGGAGGAAAGAAGCTTTGAAAGAACAGTTCAGACAAACGGACATTTATTCAGCATAAACGCTTGAAGTAACGCGACCGTCTCTTGTTTTTAACGAGCCGTTCTCAAAGTTTTTCATAGTTTGAGTGTATTATTCGACAGAACATCTCTGGTGGCGTATTTTATTTTGAAAGGCTTAAAAAGTGAAAGCAATGGTCTCAGGGAAGCTCAGAATTACTGCCAGTGCGTTCCCTCCACGCCGATCCATTGGACTGATGAAAAATCAGATAAAATCACTAGATTTGTCCTAAAGAGGTCTCATCTGAAGGCACGGACACAGAAGATAAAACACGGCTTTCTGTTGTGCGTTCCTAAATTTACAAATTTCATGTTGGTGAAAATAACTAAGATAAAAAGAGCATACAGCGTATTATACGACCGTAGGCTAATTATTATGCAGCAACCTATAGCAAAGACCCAAACAGGCAAGACCTTGTATAACCTTTGACCTTGATTTGTGACCCGGATGTTGGCGCTGTGGTGATGGAGTGTACGTGACACTCCGTCTAGTGAAGGTACAAATGTTTATGAAGCTTATCTCGAGTGAATCAGAAGTTACGGGCAGAGCGAGAGGAAGTTTATGGACGTACGGAGACGTCTGCCTTTCGACGGGCGTGTTAAAATGTAAAAAATGAAAAAGGTGCCGTGTAGTTTTTAACTGGCTGAACGTCAGAACTACACGGGACGAGGCAGCGAGTTCAGCAGCTGCACAGCCCTGGAGACAAAGGTGGAACCGTTTAATCAGCAGAGAAAGGACGTGCGTCCTGAAGAACCTCGTGAGCTCATATAAAGATCCCAGCTAGCAGGATTAGCAGCAGCACACGCTAATCTGAGATTAGAGCTTGTTAAAATGGCTGTGTGCTTTAAAACAGTTTGTTGTGCTAAAATAATTAGCCCTGCAAATCGAACATGTTCTGTCTTAACGTCTGTAGTTTAGACCGGACCAGGAATCCAACAATTACTTGATGAATTTCAAGCGTTTTGTTTTAAATACCCACTCCATCTGCCATAAAACATAATTCACTTGACGCATTGTTTCTGTAATTCTTAGATGGACGTGGAAGTGGGTCAGTCAGTCGATGAGTACTTACGATGTAGCAGCCGATGACGTCATTTTCACCAAACTTTTCGCCAAAGTCTGCAAACTTGCAGTCACTGGATTTCTTCCCCGTCCCTCCATATCCGAAGGAAAAAGGCTCCTCGCCTAAAAATAATGAAAAACACAATTACCTTGTTGTTCGGGTTCATTACGAATCCCTTACGTCGAACAGCTTCTCACCGAGCTGGGTGCTGCAGTAGTTCAGGGACCATCCGATACGGACCACGTGGGGGTCGGGCTCGCTGCTGGGCAGATGCTTCACGGGGATTTCCTCGTTTATCTGGAAGGAAAATGGGAAACAAAACAACGTCAAAAAGGAATCTTTACGATGAGCACTAACCGAGTCCTGGCGTCAACAGTTTGATGGGAAACAGGAGGCAGAGGAACCCGTTTTAGAACCAAATCCAGCTGAACGTCTGGCTTCGTGATGAACGCTCCTCGAGTTCTCTACGGTGGTGAACATCACGTGAAGAGCAAAGTGAGACTCTCACACCATGACCCTTTAATTTGATCAAATTGTAGCTCCATTTACCATTTGCCTCTTTTAGCTAAAGTCTTGGGAAAAAGTTGTTTTATGCAGTTAAAGCTCGTCTTACAAAACATGAATTTATGAAACTTTTCAGTCTGGATTTAAACTCTTCACCGTCATGTCCATGGACGCAGTGTCCTGTTGCTTTAGTGCTGCTGGACCTCGCAGCTGCTTTGACACAGTGGACCTGCTGTCCCGTCTTCAACACCACGTTGGTAGATCTGGTTCACATCCTACTAGACCAACAGAACTTTCTCCGTCATGTTGGGCAAACTGTCTTCCTTTAATGTTCCCTCTTCCATGTGGTGTGCCGCAGGTCTCTATTCTCGGTCCCCTCTTTTTTGCTCTGTATACGCTGCCACTTGGATCAGTTATAGCCAGTCATCACATTTATTTTCACTGCAATGCAAATGGTCTACACATGTATTTGTTTATGAGGCTAAAAGGTAGTAACTTTCTCATTTCTTTATTGACAGTATTTTTTTACATTAAACGGTGTCTTCACAAAATTTTCTGTTTTTAAATGAAGGAAAGATCTTTTTGGTGATGATGCTTCCTGTAACTTTGGTGCTTTGACATCCAAGTTCAGACAAAGTTAAAAACTTGGGGTTGACATTTGACAATGATTTAAAGTTTAACATAAATGTAGCCTCTGTAGTCAAGGCCAGCTTTTATTAGCCATGTCTTTTAACCAAAGTTAAGCCTTTTTTAAAATCATCCGGACTTGGAAAAAAAACCATTCCTGCTTTTACCAGCTCAAGGCTCGTCTCCTGCAGTGTTCTGTATGTAGGAATTTGCCAATCCTTTATCAGATGTCTTCAACTGTCCAAAAAGCTGCAGCTAGTCTTTTAACCAACACCCCTAGACGAGAGCACATCACGTCTGATTTTCTCTTCAGCGACTTCCAGATAGTTTTAGAATTGATTTATTCACTTTCACAGCTCTTCACGAGCTCGCTCCACCTTATGTAGTGGCTATTTTTTAAGCATGAGGATCTTAAGGTAATCAAATACTTCCTTTACCGTTTGTCCCAAAGTCCAAATGACGTTGGGGTAACCGAGTCTTTTGGGTGGCTGCACCCAGACTGTGGAAGTGCGTGCACTCCATCACTGATCTGGGACGTTTTAAATCTAATTTAAAAACCTTTCAATTCAGGCAGGCTTTTAAAACCTAGTGGCTCTCTGGCATTTTTGTATAGTTTTTATTTTTAACTTTTGTATTGTGAAGCACTTTGTGCACCTTTGGGCTGTTTGAGAGGGTTCGATAAATAAATGTTGATAAATGGGCGAACGTCTGAACGCCACAACCTGGACTGACTCAAACGTTTCGTCTGCTACATATAATCAGTATTTCTGATCGTCTCCACACACAGACAACAAGACACACCTATTTCCTGTAAAATCACCTTCATCTCGTAGCAAACGCGACCCCTGGAGACGCCGTGAGAGGCTCGAGCTCCGGCCCAAAGGTACGCGAAGCCTTCAATGGTCAGAGGATAACCGCTGTAACGATCCCGGGACACTTTGAAGTGCAAATCACAATTATCTGGAGGACAAAAGAAATAAATTAAGACATCTGCTTTAAGACTATTAAAGAGCAAAAACAAATAAATACATAAATAACTAGCTAGATAACTCACACGTATCGATCGTCACCAGAGAATCATCTATGCTCTCCTCCTCATCTTCAGCAGGAGGCTGAGGTGTTCGAGATCTGAACAAAACAAATTTCAGACTAAGAACATTGAATCAGAACAGACGGAGAACATTAAAAACCCAGCTGACCTCTTCTCCTCCCGGTGCCCGTAGTAGCTGTAGCCCCTGTTGTCCTCGTGGGGCCTCTTACGGCTGACGCTTCCACCTTTATCTTCCACTTTGACTTCCTGTGTGTGACCCGCAGCAGCTTGCTGCTCGGAGCTCGGAGCATCTTGATGTTGGTTCTCAGGCTCATCCTCCGTTTTGATCTCTCTTTTTATCTCTACACAAGAAAAATAATTTTTAAAAAGCACCTTGCTGTTGATATTAAGAGCCTAAGCACATTTTAACACGTGGCTTTCTGGTCACAACACTCATTGTTATAACCCTTTAGAACCACACGGGTTAATTATCGTTTACAAACTCCTCCGAACGTGATCATCACCCTGTGTGTTCCTGACGGTCTCCTCCGGCTCCGGTTTGGTCTCCTTCTCAAACGAGGCGTTTGATTTGTTAAGATCCTCATCGGCTGTGAAGTCGGGCTCGCCGTGAGCCGAGTCGGAGGCCGGCTGACTTTCGTTGGGCTCGCCCTCTGGCTCCTTTTCCTCGTAGTCGCCACCAGAATCTTTCCCTTCATCTTCTTCTTCTTCTTGAAGGGCGTCTCCATCACCGGCGTCCTTGTCTCCAGAGCCCAGAGCTTCTTCTGGACAGAGAGAGATGCAAAACTCTCATTTCATCTCAGCTTGTTTAAAAAATATAACGCCAGTGAATATTTTAGGGATTTATGCCACGAGAAGTGCAAAAAAGACATTAACTCTACTTTTGAACATCTGATTGTGTTGAGCTGTGAATCCTGTCCAGTGATATGAACAAATACTTCCCTTTAAGAAGCTGGATCACAACTATTGAAGCAAATTCAACCAATCTTTGAAATTTTGACAAATCCCTCGATCCCCTGCCCAGATTTACGTCCTGAAATCCAAGTCTGCAGAACGAAAACATGTCCGACACCACAAGACTGTCTTTACAAACAAAAATAATTCCCTAAAGTCCACACCGGACTACTCCCTGAAGTACAACACGCGAGAGGTGGAAACTGTTTTGCACCGCGTCAAACCCCACGGTGGACCTTTGGTCCGGAGACCGACTGAAAACGGAAGACAGACACGAGGAACTCCGACGGAGGAGGCTGCGTTCAGAGCTGTCGCAGGAACTGACAGAAAAAAGGTGAAATAAAATTTGCATTTATAAGTTTAGAAAAGCAGAATTATAAACTTCGAGGTGAGAAACTCAACTCTCTGCAGCAGAAAAGAACAAAGTCTTTGTTTAAACGAGATTCTTAATGTTGTATTAATGTTTTTATTTATATTAAATATGTTAATTAAAAATATATATATTTTTGGGGCACTTAAAATTGTAGAAATCCTGGGTCTTAGTCGAGTTACTTGCAGCCACATCTGGAAGCTCATGCGTCAATTTTTCCCCGTTTAAGGAAACAAAGTCAGTTTTTCTGGACGGGTTCTTATTTGTTGAAACGTTTCATCTTTTATCCACAAGACTTCAGTCGAAAAGACTGAAGACGAAATATTTCAACAAGAATCCGTCCAGAGGACCTGACTCAAACTTGGGGCCGGCCGATTGATCGGTGCACCCCTAATTAGGACGTTTAAAGCATTGCAACTTTTTAAAAATCAATTATTTTAAGCCATAACACATCGTAAAAAAAATCTTTGAGGGGCTGCTTTATGTCGATAACATTTTAAGGGATCAAACTAGATGTTGGTGTCATCACGGAGCCTAATCAAGCTGAAGATCTGACGTCAGAGAGAGATTTCAACCATGAGAGTCTCCGTCACGAGAATCAGCGCCCCACCGTTATTAAAACTGCAGCGTTCATTTAAATTATTTACTTGAAAATAAAAAAGAAATATCCATTAAAATGGCAACCAGAACATAGTACTTTGAGGAAGTGCAGACATTTTTTGTTGTCTGACCACGTCAGAGGAAACTAGACAAAATGGACTCGGTTTACAGGCTCTGATCAGCGACGTGAAGGTCGCCTCCGCTCTGCCACGGCCTTTTTAGAAACATGGCAGAGGACGATGGATGTTTTGTGACTTTATATCACTTAGGCGTCCATTTCATTGTTTGTGTTTGCCTCGGATAGAGTAATGCTGCAGACGTTTTAGGCATTCTATGACGATTCAAGGGGCTCTCAAGTTTAATAAAAGAACAGGGATCCTGTAGACCAGAGATGACTCGAGTCCTGATGAGACTGGACATTACTGCAAGCTTGGGAAATTGCAACAAAACAAAGAGTTGACCAAAAAATATATATAGTTTGTGAAGCTATAGTTTAGAAACTCCAACCCTATCAAAAATGTAAATAAAAGTTAAACATTTTCTCATGAAATAAAGATTAGAACCCAAGAAACAAATGGAAACAAACCCATGAAAAACAGGTTTCCTACAGTTTAAGTGTCTAAAGTTCAGCCCATGTAGAGTTTATCCAGTCAGTGTGAGAGGAGACCGCTTTAATACCTTCTTGTTGCTCCTCACGGTCCTCCTCCTCCTCCTGGTAGGGCTCGGCCTGCTCCTCCGCGGTGTCCGCCTGCGCCTCCTCCTCCAGAGCGGCTCGGAGCCGCTCCATCAGGTCCGCCTTCAGGCCTTTGGTGTCCAGGCCCCGGCGCTGGAGCTCCTCCTTCAGCTCGTTCACTTTCAGCTTTTTCACGTCTAAACTCATGGTAGCTCCGAGTGTTGCTGTGGTCCCAAAGCGAGAACAAACAAGGATAAGTCAGGAGATGGTTACGTGCAGTTCACGTCAAGGCTTCTAACTTTCAAACGGACCTCGCGCGGTTTCCTTCGCTGTCAAAAACAGGGTTCGGACGAGCTAGCAGCGCTGCACGAACCCGCCACAAAAACGGAAACAAAACTAAATAAAAACCGACCGATTTATAACGATCCCGCACCAATGCATTTTTTTCCGTAAGAGACAATTACAAACCGAATATTTAATTGTCTCTTCCTCACCTCAAATCGTCGCGTGTGGTAGCGCTAACGAAGATAACCTTTTTAGCTTAGCATTTAGCTCACTGAGCGACAACCGATGCGGAACAAAGGACTCAAGCGAAGGGAAAATACAGATTGTATGAGTTACTCCGATTTATTGTGCAGGCACTACTATCAATGCATCGCACACATACTTTTTAAAGTAAGACGTAAAGGGAAAAACGATTAAAAACAAAATTGAGGCCTACCTCAGTACGCGTCGCTGCGCGGGTAAGTCGTAGTAAAAACCTGAAAGAACCAGTAGCGCCCTCTAGCGTCGTAAGCCAACATGACCAAACCTCCTGTGCACATGCGCAGAAGGGTGTTGGCTAAACCCAGTGGAATCTGTGCGCATGACGATAGTTAGCTAGCGCCCTCTAGCGTCGGAAACTACAACAAAACCTCCTGTGCACATGCGCAGAAGAGAGCTTGTTTCTCAACTCTCTTCAAGAAATCTGACCAAGACAAAATGATGACAAAGAATGAATGTTTAAAAAGCAGTTTGGTAAAATATTTAAAAGCAAATCCAAGCAAAGTTTTTTTTTGGACCTGTGTACAGTTTTCAACTCATTTATGAGGATTTAAGATTATGGGATGTTTTCATTAAATCATTTTATCTGGATTTACAGTGATACAAATGCAATCTTTTGGCTATCCAAAGGGTTCTGCATCTCTCAAATTTAAAGTTATTACTTCTTTAGTACATAACTGGCTTTTTACTGATTTACTCTACAGCATTTTCTTTTGTCCTGCACTTTTCATTTAATACTGCTACAGGAAACGCCTGGTTGACGCAAAACATATAATTTTACACCTGCCAAAATGCCTTTGTGATAGATTAAAAGTGACTAAAATACAATTTCTCAATGATTTGTTGCGAAGTCGCCTGCCATGTGTTGACTAATAAAAATATTATTTTGAAAATGATCAGATCAGAACTGGACTAGAAAGGAGCACAAAAGATGCACTTTTTTAAAGCCTGAAGAACTGGATCAAGAGCACATTAAATATCAAAAACAATGCGGAAAGAAATAATGGCTGCAGTTTTCAACAATAATTATTCTACATTTACAATATATTACCACGTTACCATTAAATACCAACAGCTGCATATATTTTGGGGTAATATTTCAATAAATTATTATGCAGAAAAAAGAATTTAGCTTGTTTTGTTCATTTGACACAGTTGAAAACGGTAGGCCAGCGCGATTCCTGGGTTGTGATTCTTAAAAAGGGTTTAACTACAAAGTGTCCAGCACACGCCACAGAGGGGAGAGTAAACATCACCTACAGGAAACAACAGGCTGTTTTATTTCACACAACGTTAACATGAACCAGGGGTCACAAATGACACGTGCACAAAACTGTGGGGGAGAAAATAACGCATTGAGTCCGTTTTATTGTGATCGCGTTTTTGAAACCCATAAAGTGAATAATCAGTCGGCTGATGCGTAACCCTGAAAATAAACATTTTCCAAATAATGTGATAAAAAAAATCACTGGATTGAAAAGTCAACAAACTCAAGCTGCTATAAAATAAATTAACATTAAGGTCACTGTTTCTTGGTACAGTTTGTGTTATTTAAAACAAACCTGCGACGCCAACCACAGAAATTCACTATGAATATCATAGTGATCCTATTTTACAACCAGCTGCTCAAAACATGAGCAAATACAGCAGCCGAAGCCGCAGATCTGAACCGGGTCCTGGCAGCGGTGTGTGCAGGAAGGTGACTCAAGAAGTGCACACAACAGCGTCGTTTTGGTGCCACGCACAGACCAACGATACGCAGCGCTGCACTAAATGAGTCACTTTGTGTTGGGAGCAGGCAGTGAATGCAGCAGCCTGTTGACTTCTCTCAGCTGAGCGTCCAGCGTCTCTGTGGTTAGTGACAACTCTGCTATTTGAGTCTGTAGGTCTATGATGGTCTCGTTTAGCTCCTCCTCCTTGCGGCGAGAGTTGGCCGCCTGCCTGCTGTACTCCAGCACCATACATCCACCACCGATGAGGAAAACGATGGCCTCTCCCAGCAGCTCCGCTCCCAACTCCGCTGCCGCTTCCTCGTTCAGCGGCTTGATGGTGGCACCCTTGAAGCCCATGATCCGCATCTTTGTTCTCATCTCGATCCAGTGATAAACTGTGAGCGTAAATCACAAGGGGAGACAAGTTATGGGTTGTAGTCATGCACAGAAGCATCAGAGGAGCTGAAAAAGGAGCAAAAGTTGGAAATAAATTGTGAAGTAGAACTCGGAAATGATTTACAGCATAAGGATTGGAAAAGAGCCAAGTGGTGTGAAGAGTTCCTGTTTCAGGTAATATGGAGGGCACGGTACCTGCAGCACAATCCTGGGTGATCCAGAGTTATATCCTGCACAAGCCTTTTTCAAAATAATAATTTATTGGTCTCGTATTTTGATTCAGATTGAAGATTACACTATCTGAGCGACCTCCACGGAGCGAACGCTGGCCTTAAAGAAAGCAAAGCGTTTTCAAAGTTTTGAGTGTTGATTTACACAGAAATCACAAGACAGAGTCAGCATTTACAAAAACTGTGTGCAAATTAACGCAGAAATGTAAACAGGTAAATCAAAACTAATACAAACAGCCGTTCTTGTGAGCTTAAACGTTAAAAAAATTGTGTCGGGTGGAAATGATGCTGATGTGCTAAAGAACAGGATGTTCAAGTTTATTGTCATTCGCATCACGTGGTACCTGAGGTGGAACGAAATTGTGTACCCAAAAATAGCAAAAACATAAAGTATAAAATTAAACAGTATACAAGGATCTAAGATATACACGATATATATGCTGAACGAACGCCAAACGGTATGCTAAATCAGATTATACATACACAACTGTAATAAATTGATTATTCATTTAAAAGGTTTGTGGTTATTACAGCAATGTGTGTGAAACTCTCTTTTAATCTCCAAGTTTTAAACTGCTCATTGTTACAAGTATAAATCTTTGCGCTTCTTTACTTTGAGGGAGTGTGTTTAAATAAACAAGATACATTTGCAAATTACTGCCATTTAAGAACATTTGAATTTATTAGTAAAGGTTTCCAGAATGTTGTGGAGCTGTGACTGTCCAAGTCATGAACTCAGACAGTTCTATACATTTTCACACCATTCATCCCTTTCTGTTCATTTAGTAATACTCTGTTGTTGGCTTTATAAGCCTTTATTTGTGACTAAAAAGTAAAACATTCTTTAAATGGTTCTGATGACTTCTTTGGGCGTGTTTTGAGCAGGTTTTCAGAACACATATTAGCATGTCCTGTTAGCTTCATTTGCGTTAATGAGGCGCTTTGTTGGATAAAATTCAGAAAGTATGTAATGTCTTATCAGCAAGGCTTATAATATGTCAACTTAAATAAGAATCTGTCGATTTAAATCGCCTAAACTTCTGTTAATGAACGGGTTGGAAAGCTAATGTCATGTCCTCACAGCAGTCTGTTCAATGACAAGTAAGTTCCGCCCTCTTTAAGCTTACTCGACTGCTATTGGTCGAACGTAAGACTCCATGAAGCTGATTGGCTAAGACCTCAAAGAGGTTCAACGTGATTGGTTGTCACACGTTACGCGTTATAATGAATTGTCGGTGAGCTCCCAGCTTTAGCAGCCGTTAGCTCGGTTACTTACGCTGTGCCGGCGGCAGGCAGATATAAGTTTTAAAGAACTCGCTCCTCCGGGCTCCAGCTTTTATCCGGTTCGCCACAGGCTTGCTCAGCTGCCTCACTCCCAGGTAGAGGAGCTTGGCGATAGGGAAGGCACCAACAACCATCTTGGCGGAAAAGCTTCGCCACGAAGGGGCGGAGTCTGTAAAAGTTACGCGATGACGTCAATGATAGACAGTCGGCCGTAGACCCACCCACTCATTCAAACCAGTGTACAGTCAAAAGTTTTATTTTTTTATAGTTTAAAACACAAGTACTTTAAAGCATCGAGAAGAGGCCTGCACGATAAAATAAGTCTATTTGTTGTTGTTTAAAGCGAACATCTCAAACAAGAAGGAAATAACCCTAAGCTACACTAGTAAAACTTACAAATTCAAGGATTCAAGGTTCTTTATTTGTCACCATATACACCATAAAACCACCAAAATAAAAACACCAAATACACCATAAAAACTTAAAAAAGAACATGTAGACAGAACATACCATCTCCCCTGTGGTCCACATTGCTCTCACTGATCAGGAGCAGGACTCCTACATCTGTATGCTCTTTGTGGACTTCACATCTGCCTTCAATACATGATCCCCCAGACCTTGATGGACAAACTACTCACACTAGGACTAAGCCCCTCCATTTGCAACTGGGTCTTAAACTTCTTAAACAGACCACAGTCTGTGAGGATCCACAACTTCTCCACCATAACCCTCAGCACTGGCTCTCCTCAGGGTTGTGTTTTGAGCCCCCTCCTGTTTATTCTGCTCACGTATGATTGTGCACCTCCCCATCCAGGCTGTCACATTGTAAAGTTTGCAGATGATACAGCGGTGGTGGGATGCATCACAAACAATGATGAGTCCAGCTACAGGCAGGAGGTGGAACACCTGGAGAGCTGGTGCAGGAAGAACAACCGTCACATCGATGTGAAGAAGACAAAGGAGATGGTCGTGGACTTCAAAAGGAACAAACACACCTCCCCCCCCCACACACACACCTGAACACAGGAGGAGCTGTGGTGGAAGTGGTCTCCAGCTACAAGTACTTGGGTGTACACCTGAATGACATCCTCTGGGGGAACAACACCACCAGCCTGATGAAGAAAGCTCATCGGAGACTCTAATTCCTCAGGCGGCTGAGGCGAGCTGGTCTGGAAGCTCAGTCCTCACCTCCTTCTACAGGTGTTCAGTGGAGAGCATCCTGTGCTCCAGCATCAACGTGTGGCATGGAGGCTGCACAGCTGCAGAAAGAAAAGCTCTGCAGAGAGTGGTGAAGGCTGCACAGAAGATGTTGGAGTCAGCCTCCCCACCATCACAGACATTGGGTGGCTGTGGCTGAGCTGTTAAAGCAGTCGTCCTCCAATGCAAGAGTTGGGGGTTCAAATCCACCAGCAGTCACATGCCGAAGTGTCCATGGTCAAGACACTGAACCCCTCATTGCCCTCGATGTGTGTCCCATCGGTGTATGAATGTGATCTAAAGCACTGATTAGTATCTTTAGAACAATTTGTTCATTTAGCTTTGTAGAGGTCTAGTAGAGAGCTGTATGAATGGGTACATGAGGAAACAATGACATAGTAACAAAGTGTAAAGTGCTTTGAGTATCTTGATTAGATAGAAAGGTGCTATAGAAGTACAGTCCATTTACCAGCATGTACACCTCCAGATGCAGGAAGAGGACCACCTGCATCATGAAGG